CAAAACTTCTCCTGGTCGAACAACGTTTCTCTCAGGGGTGTCCAATCTTCAACGAAAGGGTTACTGGTTCTCGTCGCCCCTAGACCTGTTGGTCTCGATGAGGTGTCTTCAGGTACGAGGTTGTCCTCTTCCCTCGTCAAAAGTGGGGTTCTTTCCTCATGCCCTGTGTATCCCCAGGGTACGTGGTCCTCCCCCTCAGTGTAGCCCCAGGGTCCGGGTAGCCACCCAGTTTCCTCAGCTCCTCCACTCCAAACTTTTCCTCTCTCTCTCTTTCTACCCGTCTCTTTTCCTCAGCTAACTTCCGACGCCACTCACGGGTTTCCCTTTCTCCCCAGTAAGAGGGTCGTATGGACATTTCCCTCCTTCTCTTCTCTTCAGCCTCTTTACGGGTGAGGCGCACAGTCTCCCATTTACCCGTCCAGGGATCTTGGTTTGACACCCATTCCCATCCGCCTTCACCTCTCTCCCTCTCCTGACTGACTTCCCCAGCAGCTCCCTCTTCTGGCTCTTTAGTCCACTGGTTCTTAACCTTGGGTTACTCAGGAGTTTTGGACTGCAACTCCCAGAAGCCTTCACCACCAGCTGTCCTGACTGGGGTTTCTGGGAGTTGCAGTTCAAAAGCATCCGAGTAACAAAGGTTAAGAACCACTGCTTTAGTCTCTTTACCCGCCCAAACTGCAGGAGTCTGGGTGGCTACACTTAACCCTTTCAGCTCCCGGGTTAGATCCGCAGTATCCACGGCCTGATGGAGCATCCGTGGAGGGAACTGTCGGGGAGCTGTTTGTGTACCCGTTGTTGCCTTAGGGCGAGACGGCACTCCTAACATCACCTCGCGACCCAGGGCTCGGGTATTACACATGCCCACGTTGAAATATTCTGTCAATATTTCTCAGGTGTTTTCCATGTACAGTGGTGCCTCGCTTGACGATAATCCGTTCCAGCAAAATCGCTATAGAACAAAATCGTCATAAAGCAAAAGTAAAAAACCCATTGAAATGCATTGAAAACCGGTTCAATGCGTTCCAATGGGTGAAATACCTCATCGTGCAGTGAAGATCCTCCATAGGGCGGCCATTTTCCAGTGCCTGTTAAGCGAGGAATACGTCCTAAACACAGCGGGGACCCATTTTGCACAGCAGGCGGCCATTTTGAGAGTCGCTGATCAGCTATTTTTAAATTGTTGTTTAGTGAAGCAGGGAACCAATCGTCGTAAAGTGAATTTTCCCCATTTAAACATCATTTTACCTCATTGTAAAGCGGATTCGTCATGGAGCAGGGTAATCGTCAAGCAGGGCACCACTGTAGTGGTTTAGTTTTCCAGCTGTTTAATGTATTTTCTAATTATTGTTTCATATATTGAGCCTTTGTTTCTGTTGATTTCAAAATATTCTCCATTTTGACTGCCTTAAGTAGTTTTTTTCTGCTTGCAGTGATATAATCATTTGGGCTTTTTTTCCTCCTCTACTACCTGCTGTATTGGCAGCAATCTATGGCCTCTGATTTTTCAAGGTAAATACAATCTGTCCACATCACTTTTTGGATATTGTGTCTAATGCATGTTCATTAGTTTCCATGGTTTCCAATCCAATTCTTCTAATTGTCCAATCTATTATTCCAGTTGGGTTTGATTGTATTTCCATCATTTAATTTTGATCTTAAGATTTTTCCATAGTCTTTTTCCATATTCTTCTTCTTCATCATCATCATCATCATCATCAAAAATACAGCCACATTCAATCAAAAATATAAAAACATTGACTGGTATTATATAACAGATGATGATGATGATGATGATGATGATGATGATGATGATGATGATGATGATGATGATGATGATGAAAGTTTAGGAAGTCTTAAAGGTAAAGGTTCCCCTTGACAATATGTCCAGTCGTGTCTGACTCCAGGCGCCTGTGTTCATCTCCGTTTCCAACCCATAGAGCTAGCGTTTGTCTGCAGACAATCCTCCGTGGTCATGTGGCCGGCGTGACTAGACATGGACACGGAACTTAGCATAAGATTTCATGGGCTGCAGTTTCATGAAGGCTTATGCCAAATAAAGTTTGTTAGTCTTTATGATGCCACAGAACTTTTTGCTGTGTTAACCTTTTAGAATGTGGAAGGAAGCATATAAAAGTTGGGAAACCACCAAATGTTATCAAAGGAGGAAGGAGCTGCTTTGTGGCAAATGGCCAAACCAGTAAGAATGGCATCTTTAGCCCTGCCTATTGGCAGAATGTGTCCCAAATAGTTGGAATTCAGCTCTCAAGTGAAAAAGCAAAAGCATCTACAGAGTAAATGAACCCTGTGGATCTCTTCAGCACAGCAATTCTTAAGTAACACAATCATTTCTATTTCTCTTATTTTTGCTTTGTGGTCTCCTTGGTACTACAACTGCACACTAACTTGTCTCCATCTGGTGTTCTCAGTCTATCAAATCTAGCTGCTGGTATGTTGCAAATGCCACCAGTGGTGCTTCAGCCCTGTTAAACAGTTACTAACAGGATCACATGCTTGTACTACCTGATTGAATGCTTGTTTGAAATAGTCACAGAAGAACCCATGACAGTAATTAATTTTTTGTGTTGTTTTAACAATAATAACTAGGAAAAATATTTCTCTATTGATCATCAGCCTTTTCCTTATTTGTCTGAGTGGCAATGATTTATTCCCACGAAGGTGCCTTTGGGTGACATGTATTGGACTGGTAATTTGCTTTATAAAACAAACGTGAACACTATTTCACGAACGTCGTGTCATCAGCTTGATGTGAGTCATGGGCATAGACAGAACTACAGCTTGCATATCCTATCAAGATAGGATAGCATGGTGACCTGGTGTGATTGGGTTCTTTAGTGAGGAGGGGCGGGCCAGTAATTTCGGCGGGAATGACAGATGGAGTAGACTTCACTGTTTCAAACAACGCTGTTTTATTATTTTTAACATCAGGAACACCAAGACCAAACAGGTCTAACTTCTTTATATCTGGCAACAACTTGTACAGTATTCTTAATTCTAACATCTTCAATAGACTTCTCGCCTTTTACATTCTCCTCGCTCCAGGGGAATACGTCATTGGTGGAATCGGTATTGGAGCGCTCAACACCGCACAAGTGGTCCCGCAACAGGGATGTTTCACCACCGTGCCCTCCAACCTGGGGAGATAAGGCCTGGAACCATAAGGGGTCTCGCACGATACCTGGGCTGGTATATTCGACCCCGGTCCCCAATTCCATCCTCTCTTTTGCTTCTTCTGACCTTTCTTAGATAACTCGGGTGGAGTAGGTAACAGTCCGTCTCCCACCATCAGGTTTGGAAAGTTCTTCAGTAGCTTTGCGATTCTTTCTCTTTTCTCCCCAGTCTCCTCTGTTTGAACACTTCTCTCCTCTTGTGTAGTCTGAGTCTCCCCTTTTTCCTCCTCCTCTTTTATATCATCCCATCTCCACCCTTCTAACTCGGCCCTCTTTTCCCTTTGCTTCCCTTCAGCCAAGAATACTTCCACCGCCTTTGAATTTCCTGTTCCCTCCTCATCTAGTTTTATCAGCTCCCCCACGACACATCCCTCATTCCCCTCTGTCTGTAGTTTCTCTGAGGACGGCACACTTCGAACTCCTCGCTCACACCTGGTCAGATAAGGAGAGCGCACCAGTCAACATGTAATTGTTTCCCTGTCTAGAGAAGGATATTTCCTTCCACTCCTCCCTGCCAGTTTCAGTATAGGTGAACCCTCTGAGTTGCCCAGATCATCATACCCCTTTGTCATGGTAAGGAGGCTAGCTATCCCTATGGTGCTGGGCCAAAAAAATGGGATAATTCCCAGTCAGATGGGGGGGCGGCTCTCTGGCACATGAGGGCATCCACATGTTTCCTTTCACCATATGGTACCATGCTGTATCCATATCTATTGTCTATACTGTACAATGAACCTTCTAAGGCACCTGTGGCTTTCTGCCTTCATCGAGACTCAAAGAATGTACAGTAAGTGCATTGGATTGTGTTTGTTCATTTTTTAACTGACTGCTCCACAATTGCGGATTAGCACAGATGTCCACATACTGTAAAAGGTGGGGAAATTATTACCTTTATTCCTGGAAAACTAACAGAACCTTTCAAATGGAATATAACCCTACTGATTGGGTAGTCAGTTAGAGAGAAACAAAAGGTCTGGAATAACAGAGGGGAAAATCCTTGTCGTTTCAACCAGATTGCTTCAGAATGCAGCAGACTGTCCCTCAGTAAAGCTTCAGACAGAGGATGGATCCCTCTCATCTCTCAGGGTCACCGAAGCCCTGGATCGTCTGTGCTGGCAGATGGGTCAGACTAAGAACCAGTGGCGGGGAAGAAAACTTTATCTTGTTTTTGTTCCTTGTATACTGAATTCATTCCTTTCAGGCAATTTTGGAAAGGAGGTTGGTTTGTAAATTCCCTTTTTAATTTCATGCTGGCTGTCCAGGTCTGACCAACGGGAAAAAAAACGCAGCAGAAATATTTCAATATTGGCTGCCTTTTCCATGGCACCCCAGACCTGCCGCCGGAGCTGGTCTGCCACAGGAGGCGCTCTCCCGCCTTGGGTGCGATGTACCTTGACGGGGCAACAGGCGGACGGACCGCTCGCACTTCAGCCTCAGGCGGCCAAATGTCTGGAGCCGAGCCCGCCGCGCTAAAAGCCCCCCCCGCGGCGGACGCCACGTGCCGCGCTTCCCCTCGTGACCTCGCTCGCCCTTCTGCGCCTCACCCCACACCACCCCTCTTCCCCTCCGCGCCACTTCCCCGGGCGCGCCTGCGCCGTGCGCTCCCGCTGCCCCGCGCGGCGGCCGAAGGCTGCCAAAAAAGTTGGCAGCGAAGCGAACCCGAGGAGTTCGGCT